TTTTATTTATGCGTTATTTTTTAATTTCGTTAAATTATGTAGTTTTGTAACTAATTTCGTTTTTTATTTTTTTTTATTTTCTTGTTAATTTATATTCATTTAAAAATATGCTTATTATATTATATATTATATGTTTTTCTTAATTTTTTATTTATAATTGTTTATCAAAGTAGTTCAATCATCGGTACTGCTTTCAAGCAGTTTACTTTAGCTGTACAAGCAGTTTATAGTTTATACACTTCATGAACTAAACATAATGAGGAGAAGTGTGGTGAGAATGTTTGGTTTGGAGGGGAAGTGTGTTGAGTTTTCAAAGCAGCTCAGGAGTAAAGCCTACTCCTGTTTATAGCAAGCAGTACACAAGTGGTTTATGCAAATTCTAGTTGGAATAAATTAGAATTATGCTGAAGTCAACTTCAGAAAAACTAGAAAGGAATACAATTAGGAAAATCTAAAGTAAATATAAATGATAAAATAAAAATAAATGATTAAATCGTTTGAAAATAGTCTATAAGTTATAAAAACGGTAAATCAATTGGTATTATTAACATTGCTAAAAATTATTCTTTAGATTATGATATTGATTTGATCATCTTATTTAGATAAAAATTTTAATATAGTTTTATTTTATCCACATATCCATATGTTTAATAAATAATTATGAGTCTTGAATATTAATAAAATATGTGATGTCCGAAATGCCTACATTGAATTGTTACTATTAACAAAATTTAGGTTAATAAGATATTATACACAATATGTTCCCATATTTCCTATAATAAGCATACAATTTTCACTTTAAGCAAACTTGAACTTAAATCAGAATATTTTCTTATTAGCTATAAATGCCAAATTAAATAATTCGTTACCACAAGCAGTTGAATTGCTTATTCACCACTTACATATCACCATATCCCCTCACGCGTGACACAGTTAAAAGGCCCAGTTCTTCATTTAAAGCCAACACTAACTCTCTCTTCCCCTCTCTCTGACTATCTGATGCCAATCCACCCACCAGTTGGTTGCTCTCGTTGGATGCGTTTTGCTAAGAAGCAACCCGAATGCAGCTTCGTGCACGACTTCGTGCCGCTAGCCGAAGCTCGCATTGGCACTTCGTGTCTCGGTTGGCGTTGTGTGCAAAATCTGTGCAAAGGACCCGAAGCGAACGCGACTCGGCAAACAGAACGCGAGTTCTTGGCTCAGTTTTCATTGCGTTGCCTTTGCGTGAGGATTGTTTTGCGTGCGAGCGCTTCGACGCCGTTAGTTTTTTAGCTAGAGAACAGCAGCAAAGAGCCAAAAGCGAAAAGCGAATAACGAATCCCGAAAGCAAAAACAAAAAACAAAAAAACGAAGCAACAAACTGCAGCTAACAATTACGCGAATTGAAACATACGTTGCTACGCAGTACTGCAGTGTACGTGTGTGTGCAAGTTAGTTAGTTAGTGACTTGTGTGTGTGTGTGACTCTTTTTGTGTGTTTGTGTGTGTGTGCATTAGTGTATGCACATATTTGCAATTTCCCGCAGCGAGTCGTGTGCAGATTTTTGTGTTTTTGACATTGCACCTGAGCGGGCAGAGCAGCAGCAACAACAACAGCAGGAGCAGCAACAACAGCTGCAGAATAAGGAAACACAACGAACCGGCGATCGACCTAACGGCACCTTTTTGCATTTTGCTGCCATCACTTGGCTGAGCGTGTGTATGTGTGCGGCGCTGTTGCTTCACAGCCCTGTCTGCATGTGTGTGTGAGTGTGTGTGTGGCTGCGTGTGTGTCTGCGTGTGTTTACTTGTGCATGACGTGCAGTCACGTGTTCTAAGGTGATTTTAACGAGTTCCGTGATACGCGAAATAAGATAAGCAACAGCGAATAAAAGTCACTAGCAACGACAAACGACGCAAAAGAAAAATATAAATAAAAACAAAAAGTGCAAGAAGAAACCGAAATAATAAAGAGAAAAAGTTACAAGTAAAATAACAAAAAACAACAACTACAGTTACTCACTCCGCGACGCACGCACTCATACATGCTCTGTCTCGTTCTAACGCAGTTGAAAGCAAATCTGCAACAAATTGCACTAGATATGTTTACCTGAGCAAAACGAAATATCCAAAGTAAATAAACTTCAAATATTCACGGAAAATGGTGTAAAAATAGTGTGTTAAATATATTGAAGCAAAAGCTCATGAATAAAATATTATTTACACGTAACTAAAACATATTGCTAATTGCATTTATTTGAACATCGTAAAGGTGAGCGAGCAAAAATCCAATAAAATAAACATTAGAACTTATTACGCTTCGAATTCTTATTAGATTTTGGGTAGGTTTAACTTGCTGAACTATATGGATAGGAATTTAATCCATGTTGAATATAGAGTAGATTTAAGAAAAAGAATTTTTAACTTATAGCATTCGTATTAACTGCCGATTCGATTTGTAACAAGAAACTAAGCACCAACTGGCAGTTTTTTTTATTCTAATCAGACTTTCATCACCCTTAATATTAATAGGTAAAACAAATAAAATTATTCGCATACAAAATTATTTTTTCCTTTCGGTCAAGTAGAACTTGCAAAATAGCAAATTTAATAAGAATGTGAACTTATCTTATTAGATATTTATTTTGGTTTCTTATCAGAGTTTCGCTCGTAGAAAGGAGAAACTTTTCCAGCAAGATATCAAAATTGGCTTATTGGCTTTTTTGTAAACTTTAACTTGCAGAATATAAAGTGGAAATAAGAATCAGAGCTTCATAGTGAATTCTTCGTAAATTCTTTAACTTATTGATGGCTCAGTTTTAAGCATATGATTTAATTTATTTTCAGCATACATATTTTTATTTTATTTTATAATTTATGATTGCAAAAAATGTTGTTTGATATAAGATATGTATTAAATTTTGATTATTTATTTATGTAAATTTGCATAACAAAATAGAGTTTATACTGTTTATTTATTTATTTTATTTTTCTAAAAATTGAAGCCAATTTTTAAAATAATTTTAACCCTCATTAAAGTTCTTTTTTTTTTTTTAATTATATATATTATAATGGAACTAAAAACGTCCTAAACTTATTTTGTCATCCTTCCATAATAAATATTATCATACAATTTTTATAATTATAAATATATTTAAGATCAATAATTCATTACATTTAAGAAAGAAGTATAAAAGTTTACTTTCAATCTACCTGCATTTAATTTAATTTTGATTTATATAAACAAAAATAAAAAATTTTAATAAATCGATTTAGAGTCTGCATTAAATTGCAATTAAATTACATAGCTCAATTTTACATTTATATTAATTTCATAATTTATTAATTTCTTTAATTTAATTGCTAATTGATTTGGATCAAATTCTTCTACTCGAGTATCTACTTATATTTGAGTTTCGGCTTATCACTAAATACATTTCAATCAAGCAATTTAGGCAATTTCGTGGCCAATTTCCTAATGTGTGGGTGTGTGTGGGAGTGTGTGTGTGGGCGACGCTTCAAGGAAAAAGTCCGCCAAGGAAAACTTGTCAGCTGCACAGAAGTTGAGAATTGGTAGACAACTGAGAAATGGTGGGCAGAGGCAGAGCACTCTCTGGCCTATGCAACAATGTTTCATAGCTATATACATATATTTTTTTTCCTATCGCATGTCTTGCTGTGCTCCTTAGTTCTTCCTTTTTTTCTGCTTATATCATTGACGAAGAATGTCAAATGCATAGCATAGTTTTTCTCTCTTCTCTTTTGCCAAAAAATGCCGAGTCAGGCATATATTGTTGCTTTTCCTGCTGGTGTCGTTGTTGTTGTTGTTGTTGATGTGGTGGGGGCACAATCAATATGTGGACAAGTTTTCTAGGGCATGTTTGATTGACTGATTGATATGCGTCATGATTTATTATAGCTCGACTAAGGCCAGGGACCTTTAAAGAGCCCCTAAACTAGTTTCCGTAAGGGTGATTCGGCTCTTAGCTGTAGGATTTTATCTATTTATTAGCTATCTTATCTATTATTAACTATCATATATATTAGGAGCTATCTTATCTATTATAGCTATCTATTATTTTAGTACTTTGAGGAAGAAATAAAATATCATACATTTTATTCAAATTGGCCAACACCAGAATTCATTTTATTAGAAATTACTTAATTACTTAATTGTAAGTAATTGTTTTCTGTGAGATATATTAATACGTTGGGACAAAGTATAAATGCTAGCTTGATTTGCCAAGCTACACATATTTTGAAAAGATATTACAGAATATAAATGTAACATTATAATACTTTAGATAGAATTCTGCTATAGCTTAATGGCCCTTGAATGTTACTTAATAATAATTTCTTTCATAATAAACTTCAAAGAGTTTCGCTTAGCCCTTTTTGCTATACATATTGAAATTAATTCCCGGAAAATAATTAGCTATGAAAAATTGAATGAATAACTTGTATATTAGTTAGAATTCATTTTAAGGTGTATGTCTCATATTAGTTATTATGAATTAAGCCATATTATACAAATAATGCAATTTTCTCATTAGAATTAATTTGCCAGATATGTTAATATATGTAAATTCATATTTAGGTTTTACTACTTCCTCAATCATACCCGATTTTCTACACTTCACTGGGTATATGGGCATAATAACTGAGAATATTTTACACTAGAGTTTAAAAAGGCGAAACGCTGTGAAATAACATTTATATGCACTCTCTATATATATCTCACTCTCATTTTATTTCTGTCTCTCTATCTCTATCTATGTGTCGTTTGCTGTCTCTTTTCATTTCTTACTTGCATTTTGTGCTTTTGGCCGTAAAAATGCCAAAAGTTTTTCTTAACGTTGCCGCTGTCTTTCTTGTTGTTGTTGTCGTTGTTGTTGTTGTTTATCGTTGCGCTTTATGCGAAAAATAAAGTAAATAATGAAAGCTATTTAGCACGGCCAAGGGGCGCATTAAGTTGTTCCAGGATTATCCCGAGCTGTGCCACGCCTACCCCACCAAAAACTCCATCAACTGCAGCAACAACAACAAGAGCGATTGGGGAGGTTTCTCCAAATGGGGTTGACAAGCGTTTAATGAGCTGCGAGCAGGCGCCCGGCGTCCAGTCCGGCCCGGAATTTCAACAATTTTTTACTGCCACCTGCAAGGACAACGCATTCTTCTTCTACTCCAGGCATTTCTCTGCTATTTTTTGCTCCGCGTTCTTTGCTCTGCTCTCTGCTGTGGTTTATGCACGAAGATTTTTCAAAAATTTTCCAACGCACCGCGCTCAGCTCACCTGGCAGCTGCGTTAATTAGCTTAAGGTGCGTCCTTCTGCGAATATTTTCCAGAAATATTGCCAAGCCTTTTGCGCAATAATATTGCTTTAAGTTTTTTTTTTTTTTAATTTTCATTTTTTGCCTACCCTGATAAAGTTTCGTAATTAATTTGCATTTAATTAAAATGAAATTTAATGCTGATAAAGTGAATGTGAGCTCAAGCACAACTGCCAGAGCGCTGCATTTTTTATTGAGACTGCTGATGGAGCTGAAAGTGCACGCCCAGAAGAAGAAGCAAAGGACGAAGAAGAAGAACTGGCATATGCCTCTTTTTTTTTTTTTTGCCTTACACTAATTTGTGGGTAACAGAAAATTTCAAGATTCTCTTTGGATAATTTTTCGGAAGCATTCCCCTTGGAGATTAGCCTTAATATCTTAGTTTTGATTGCTTCATTTGATTTCTTCTTCCGATTTTAGTTAATTCTGATAACTTATGGTTATCAAAAGTCTAAAAAATGTCTGTGATTTTCATTTTTCCAAATAAAAAAAAATTGTTTCGAAAATATAAAATTTTTGTAGACTTATATTAAAAAAAAAAAATAGTATTTTATATATTTAAGTAATAATAATTTTATTTTTATTTCCTTGCAATGTGCACTTTAGTGAATTTGCAATATTCGAGCTCAAACGTGAAATTGATTCAACTTCGTTTTCAATTTTCCCCATAATAACGCCTTACATCAACAGCAAACAAATTTTCCATGCTCAAATATGGCCTCTGCGAAAAAATGGAAAGCTGAAAAAGCAAGAGAGAGGGGAAAATCCCACGCACCCACACACACACACACTCACACACGCTTCATTGAACTTCGAAGAGAGGCTTAGCTAGTTGCACTTTGCTCTTATTTTTATCTCGCTGGCCATATATTGTATATACATATATATATTGAAAATGGCTATGGGAAAAAGTTTACAAATTTTCACCGTACATGGAGAAAAGAGAGAAACAGAGAAAGAGAAAGAGAGAGAGAGAGAGAGAGAGAGCGAAATAGTCAAACCAAGTGTGGAACTTTCTGTGTGAAAACTTTAGCCATGGGATCCACATATCAAAAGTTCTTTTGGCCAAATAGAACAACAGGCAGACCTTTGGGCGATTGAAAAATATTTTCATATGTAAATTTATAATATGTTTTCTTTTACGTCTCTTATGCTGTGCTGCAGGATACCCAGTAAAGAGGGGAAATTGATTAAAATAAATGGAGTTGACTGAGTTGTAATATAGCTGAAAGTGAATGCAATTAAAATTATTGTCATACAAAATTCCTGAAATGATGATGAATAATAGCCCCCACTTATGAAATATCATAAAGAGTATCTGCTAGTCGTGCCGATTTGCTCACTCTTACGGCTCTTAGAGCAGCATATATATCGATATATATATTGCCTACTTGCATCTCAAGTGCAACAATAACAACAACAACAGCAACAACTAGGCTAGCAATCCCTTGCACTGTTGAAGGGCCAAAACTCTACCTAGAAATTGTGATCCCTTATTTTTGTTGTTATTGCTGAATTTTTCGGCTGCGGTTGGCAGAGCGCCGTCGCCTGCGAAATTTTGTGGCATGTGGAAATTTATTTCATAATCTCAGCAGCAACAAGAACCGCAACAACAACTGCAGTCGAAGCGCTGTGAAAAAAAAGAGCAGGAGGCGGAAGAGAAGCAGGAGCAGGAGGAGGACGAGGAGGGCAACAACTTTTTGCATATGAGCAGCACCACGAGTAGCTAAGCATGTAATTTATATCCTTGAACGACGCACGCTCTCTCACTCACTCTAACAGTGTCGTACAGTCTCTCACTCTCTCCCTCTCACTCTCTCTCCTTCGGTTAGCTGCAATCGTAGCCCTTTGCTTCTGTGGAGCTGCAATAAATTTGCTTTTGTTGCGGCTGCTTTTCGCCTTCTTCTTCTTCTTCTACTTTTGCTATTTGCAATTTTTGTTGCTGCTCTGCAATTTTATTTGACCACATAAATTGTTTACCAATTTTCACAAGTTTGTCTGCTAAATCTATATGTGTCCATGTGTGTGTGTGTGTGTGTGTGTGTGTGTATTGGGTAAGTCCTTGTTTGTTCTGAATGCTAAAAGCGGTTTAATAGCACTCGAGCAACCTTTTGATTTAGCGCCCAAGTGCTGCCAATGTATCTACTGAATGCTGCAACTCTTCACATTTTTGCCTCTAAATATTTTATAATTGGAACAATTGAGTTAAACAAAGAGTACTAGAGAGAGTGAGATGGAGAGAAACTTTTGTCAAGTTTTTGCAATCTATATAAAATATATGCCATTTTTATGAGCTGCCAATAGCATTTGTAAGCCTATTATATGCATTGTACACACGCATAAATAACGTTTGTTCTATCATAAATACATTTTTTGTTTATTTATAGTTGGTTTTCTTTTTAATTTTGCTCAGATTGGCCAACTTCAATATTTACTGAATTTTGAATTGAGTAGTTTTGTTAATGTTTCTTATGAATTTGAACCTGCTGCTTCATGCTGTATATATATGCTGGATATTCAATAGTAAATAGTGGATAGAAGACACTAGATACAGGGATATAGATACATAGATACATAGATACATAGATACATAGATACATAGATACATAGATACATAGATACATAGATACATAGATACATAGATACATAGATACATAGATGCATAAATACATAGATACATAGATACATAGATACATAGATACATAGATACATAGATACATAGATACATAGATACATAGATACATAGATACATAAATACATAGATACATAGATACATAGATACATAGATACATAGATACATAGATACATAGATACATAGATACATAGATACATAGATACATAGATACATAAATACATAGATACATAGATACTAGGTATAGAAATGTATACTGAAATGCTACGTCTTCACTACCCGTGTTACTCAACACTGGCACAGCTTAAAGAGATCAGGGCTCAGTGCCAGTTACTAGAGGGCGTAAAGTGGCTGCCCGAAAGTCAAGTGGAAGAAGTGCTTTAAGGAAAAATCTGCAGTTGTTTTCTCTTCGTTTCTTCTTCCTCTTCTTTTTTTTTTCTTTGCACTGTTTGACCGAAAACCAATTAAAAGGATGCTGCGCTTTTGCCTTGCATGCAATTTCGGTTCGCCTTTTGCGACCAGGACTTAACCCCCTTAACCCTCTTAACACACTTAAGCCCCCTTAACGCCCGGCGCGGAATTCTTGTGTCTGGATTGCAGTTTTGCGGCTTATCTCGCACTGCCCAGAGCCCTTACCCGATTCTGGTTGTTGCTGTTGTTGTTGTTGTTTTTGTTGTTGTTTTTGTTTGTCTTAACCCATTGACCACTTAGAATGTGTTTCCTTTTTTTTCTGTTTTTGCTTTTTTGTTTGGGCGCCGAAAGTTTGTCAATGCATAAATTAAAAAATTCTTTCTTCTTCTGCCCTTCGTTGTTAATGAAGCCCAAGCAATTAAAAGCGTCTACGGCCAAGCTTAATGGGCCAAAAAAATACTGGAAATCTTCTTTAATATGGGCCATGCGCTAAAACAATTTGCTGCCACAAAAGATTACAACATGTCGTGTGGCGTGTTGTTCAGATAGGCAAAAGAGAAGGAGAGAGGAGGAGTGAAACGTGTGTGTGTGAGAGAGAAAGAGACAGAGCGATAGTGAGGACGCTGCTGCCTCAGTGCGCCTTCGCTAAGGGGATTATTATAATCCGATTTTCAACTTTAAATGTGGAATATTTCCCATATGAGCGCACTGAGTGCAGTATCTTTTTTTGCATACAAATTATAGGTGTTAAGCGTGGGGTATATTGTACTTGAGCGTAAATATGGGACTATCAATAGCAGATTTCAAAGAGCAGAACAAAAAGCAATAACACTGAACGAGCAACTTTCAGAGAGAAGGAGTGGAAGAGACAACTGAAAGCCACAAATAGATAGAAACAGATAACAAGAGAGAGAGAGAGAGAGATAGAGAGAGAGAAAGAGGGAGAGAAAGAGAGAGAGAGAGAGAGAGAGAGAGAGAGAGAGAGTGAAAGATGTGATGAAGAGGAAGGGGAAGATTAAGAGATAGCTTACAAGTAGACTACAAGCTTGTGGAGTATATCCAGTAATAATTCATCTCATTGCCATTCACAGGGTATCTACCAGTCATTTAGTCGAGCTCAAAACCCTTCACTTGGAAGTTTTTTTAACCAGCCATTTTGTGGTTCGTTTAGTAAAACCTCAGCCCTGTTTCCACTCTAAAATGGTAAACTTTTTGACTCAAGTGTGTGTGAGTGTGTGTGTATGCTTGGTAGCAAGAGTTTCATATGAATGTGTGTGTGTGTGTGTGTGTGTGTATTTTTGGGTGCTTGCTAAATCGCTGCAGTTTTCTTTATAGTTATTACTTTATAAAGCTTTCTTCTTCTGCCGGTTCGTTCGTTTTTTATTTTTTCTCTTTTTGATTACAAAATTGCTTTCAATATTTTGTGGAAGAACAACAAACTCGCTTTTGGCGCACCTGTCCAGGTGCTCTTGCTCAGCTGGCCATATACATATAAATATATATGTGCATATATACATACACATATCTATATATATACGTCTATATATATAGAGTCCCATTTTGGCAACAGCAACTGCAGCCTAACTTGAGTTACGTGTTGCAGCAAAAGTTTAACGCATTAAGCAACTCATTTCTTGCTATTGTTGTTGCCGTTGTTTTTGTTGGTGCTTTTATTGTTCTTTGTGCAAAGTTTAACAGTTAGGTCTAGGCGAAGAGCATTTCCAGCTACCTGGCCATATCAGAGTTGCTTGTTGCAATAGCCGTAAATAACATAAATTATCATATTATGTGGGGTAACCACAGTTTAAGCGTAGATGAGCAAAAACTTGGCCAGATTTGGAGTGTAAAGCTAAAATATTTCGTATAGCTAATATTTTACATTTAAATTGTCATTTTGAGTTTATTAAATGAAATTTGTATCAATACCATCAACAACAAAAACAAATATAGCTTTGATTATGAGTCATGTGATGAGCCATGTCTTATTCAATTAAATTCAAATTGTTGTTAAAATATATTGAAAAATATATTAATTGACTTCTTCCTCTTCGCTCTCTAACAGACTTAAAAACGAAAAAATATCAACATGCGGTTTCTACATGTTTTTTACCAACTGGCTTTTCTGCTCACAATATTAACTGGTAAGTTATATTTGAGATATTAAAAGCATGGAATAATTGCTCTATCTAAGAAAATATATAAGTAAAGTGTTTTCAAATGTTAAAAAACTAAAGGCCAAAAAAAAAAAAAAAAAAAAGAAAAAAACTAAGAATTATAGAAATCAACAAATAATAAAATAAAAAACATATATCTTTATATTTAACTTATAACAAATAAACAAAAAATAATCTGCAATTAAAATTTTTAAACAAATTATAAAAACTAAGCCAAGCTTAGGAGCAGCTCCAGTTGATGGAAACAAATAAATCTCTATATAAATAAATAAATCTCTATACATATCTATATAAATATGTTATATTGTGTTATTTAAATAATATTGTCTGCAATTAATTTCAATTAGCAAACACTTATTTAAGTATTGACAAATTTGATGGATAGTGCAAATAGTCATTTGCAATAAAAAGGGGTCAACAGCTGTGACACATCAATCGAAATCAATTGAGAGCGAGCAAGACTCCGCGGGCTAAACTCCGATTAAGTCAACGAATAAATAAAAATCAAAATTAATTAATTAAATGTTATGTCAAACACGGAGTCGCAAAATAAATGCACTCCATAAATATTAAAACTAAAAAAAAAAAATTAACATATTATGATTAACCGCAAAGATGAAAACATTATGCATGCGCATATATTGAACGATTTTTATTAAAACATACAACAACAACAACAACAACGTTAAACTCTTGTTTTTGCTAATTAGCGTTAATTAAATTTTATTGCATTTATTAACATTCATGTGATTTGGCAAATGCGAATTCCAATGAAAAAAGCATTACATTTATTATTAAAATTTTGTATAATGGCTAAAAGCTTAAAAGTTAAAGGCTATGAAAGGTCAAGCGTGTGCGCAGCATAACAATCAAAATAACGCGAAATATTTTAAGCTCCGAAACAAGTTGAGGTTTTTTGCTTAAAATCAATTAAGCAATTTGTTGATGCCAGATTTGCTGTTTAATTACAAATAAAAAAAAAATAAAAAAAAAATAATAATTGTAATATTCCGAATAGCTTAAAACTTGGTTTAACATAAGCTGAAATCATGCCAAATTGGTGGCAAGAGAAGGGTAATGGGAGGGAGTAGGCGTGGCAGCGCTTCTTTATATATATAGTCAATACTATTGACAATACTCAACTTATCTATGTTCTGAGAATATTAAAGTAGTAAGCAAGTAATAAGTTAAATTATTTTAAACTACCTCAATTTTATTTATAAACAGATAATAAAATTTTAAAATATTATAAATAAAATTGATGAAATATATTAAATAACTTAAACTATGAAGCATAAAAATTAATAAAATAAATTTAGACAGTTTTGCATAATTACAATACATTCATTTTAATTTAATTTAAAATATAATAAACAAATAAAATATTTAAAAAATATGAATAAATTTAAAATAA